ACAGACGGACAGACGGACAGACGGACAGACAGACGGACAGGGCCAAATCAACTCAGCTCGTCACCCTGATCAAGAATATATATACTTYGWGGRGTCTGYCACGCCTCCTTCTCCCTGTTACATACATTTCAACAAAACCATTATACCCTGATTTCCCATTGAAAATGGGTTCAGGGTATAATAAAAATTCAAACTCAAATTCAAAATTTGTTAAATCTAGCAACTTAATGGCTAAAATGGCAGCACTGATGTAGACAGCAGTGTTCGTCACGGGTGCTTACTTAGCCTTTTACCGGCCAGATCTGGCCTTTTTCAACTGTCTATTGCAGGAAAAATTGTAATCTAGCTGCTGGCGGAAAATTTAAAGTACCTCCAAAGTACTAGAATATTATTCGTAGACTGCCGAGGAGAAAATTGATTTTATTGAGGTCGATAATCGTGTGTCAATTTTCGAATAAAAATATTATTCATGACAAGTATGAAAGTTCTAGTCGAGACTCTTCGAGTACCAGATCCCCTGAAGCCTTTGAGCAACTGATATTTCAATAATTCTTTCTGCTTACACAAGAAACAACACATGCACACATACACATACGCGCACGCACGGATAAAGACGCCTTGGCTGCAATGTGTGCCTACTATTGGAACTTAAGTGCTTAATGACACTTCTTGTGGATAGACTTTTTTTACGGACATTAAAAAAAAATCAAGTCTCTAACTCTTACGTCTTCTTAGACGGACGGACAGACAGACGGACCGAGCTAAATCGACTTACCTCATCGCCCTGATCAAGAATATATATAACTTTATACCCTAATTTCCCATTTTCAATGGGCTCAGGGTATTAAAACTGAAATGGCTATATTAATTAATAATTAATTTAGCATTTTCTTGCCCGGAAAAGTTGGCAGCACTGCTCGAGCCTATGTATGCAAAAAGGCAGTGAGATATGAGATATTGAGTCCATGCGATCTCCCACTCTATCCACACATTCTATGCCTATCACTCAGTCTCAATTCGAGTGCACTCTATTTTGCTAGGTTATGAGTGCGGCCATGCAGCTCTTTATTATGTATACAATATTGTATACAATATAATTTGTATGCATACATATATACCAATAGGTAGCGCCTGACTGCATTAACTGTTCTACATACGAATGAAGTAAAAGTTGTATACATAACTATGATTTGATATTTTCTTATATATTGGTAAAAATATTTTTCTGACATGCTTTATTTGTTTATTTAAAATTCAGGATTCCCTTCTACGCTATTTTCCTGGAAATGATTACGATTCGGTATACTATGCGCCAATTACTGAAAATACGAGACGATTAATGGACCTTGTGAGAAATGAACTGGGAATTCAATATGAACGTACGTTTTAAACAATTTCATATGCTTAAAAAAATAGAATGAATTAAAGCAAGGTTTCTTATTAAAGGTATTCGCGAGTACAACAATAGTGCGGAAATGCAAATTGATATGGAGCAGCAGTGCAGAGGTAGCTGTTTTGCCATCAATTTCCAGTCATTGCCAGATTTAGGAACAGGATCCGGTATAAAGTATAGCCTCTCATCAAACCGTATACGCAGCTCGCCAAAAAAACGTTTTGTGAATGATGATGAAATTAATCATCAAAAAAGTTCGTATATATGTAGCCAAAAGTTTATATATATATATAAGTATGCTAATACTTAGTTGCAACCCTCTTATAGATGATGATGAATATATACGTGAAGGATTTTTCACACTACAACATGTTATTGATCTCCAGTATATGCGCTACCAGCAACTTGATCCCAGATATGAATTGCTGGTGAATGTTATCCCAAATCTGGAGCTAGGCCCAGCCGACAGCTATCGCTTGGTCAATTTCGGGACACTATTTAGCATATTATTCAAAATGCTTCTGTTGAGCACATTTCTGGTACCTTTAGTCGAAGAGAAACAAAATGGCATCAATGAGTTTCTCAATCTAGTTACGCCCATGAGCTTTTTGAATGGCCTCAGCTTTTTCATTTTACGTATTCTATTATATGGATGCTTCCTGGTGATCAACTTGACGATCGCATGGCAATATGGCGCCTTGGGGTCAATTCATTTTATATATATATTTACACTATATTTATTATATATTATTGCCTCTATGTCGTATTCCTATTTAATATCCGTATGCTTTTTCTCAGGTGAGTGGTAATAATTCCCCCCTTATGTACATAAACAGATATTTTTGTAATTTTTCTTTACAGTCTTTTATGCTAAAATTGGCGGACTTATCTTACTTATAATACCATACGTGTTTAGTATTGTAAGAGGTTGGATAACAAATCTGGCATTTAAATTATTTTCCACAAACGCTTTTCTGGAAGGCCTTGATGTACTGCAGACGTTCTGTAACAAACGTAAGTCGAAAAGATCTTTATGTGATTATCTACAAACTCATTGATCCGAATTAAATTGGCAGACCGCAATTTTGAATTGTCTGACTTGACTCGAGTTATTAAAGATGACTTCAGCAGCATCTTAACAGTTTATGTAACGCTCATCTGCCAAATCATGTTTTACGCTTTGCTGTACAACTACTTGGTGTGTGTATTTCCCGGACCTGGCGGTCTTAAGCGCCCCTTTCTATTCTTCCTAAATGTACGTATGTGATATTATTTAAAATTGAGTTTACCGATTTTTCTGCTTTTTGAAGCCGGAAACATATAAGAAGCGTCAGCGCAATGAGTATACAACCGAACCGCTTAGCACACATGCGATAATTATAAAAAAGTTGTGCAAGAAATTCAAGACGACTAAACGCGAGACTCACATTGCAGACCATTTAGATATGACGATCAATAACAAGGAGATCACCGTGCTGCTGGGGCATAATGGTGCCGGCAAGACGACCATGATGAACATGATTATGGGTATATATGAAATAAAAACAGTCCTACGATTCCTTCCTTTGTATACCATCCTTTAAAATATTGGCTATCAATGTTAAGTTTTTTTGTTTAAGTAGTGCGTCACTACCGCAAGTTTGCTCCTGCCGAATGTCTGCTTGCCGCGGAGTACCGTCTTAGTCTTCCAAGACTGAGATGCTTATCTCGATATGCCATCCTCCAACAAGCTCCATGAGTTGGTCGCCTTTGAGCTCCAGTGGTTATCTAGAACTCCATTCGATTAGTAGCAGCAGATCTTCCGCGGGCATGTACACTACTCACGGCAAAGTTCCAAGTATTCCTCAACGCAGTATAGTGGCAACCGGCCAGCACCGCACCTCACATATATATATATATTAAACTTGTCTTTGATTATTTTTCTAGGTATCGTTCCAAAGGATGCGGGAAGCATTCTTGTTTGCAGTGAACGTGACGTTACGTCGTATCGTCACCTGATTGGTTTCTGTCCACAACACAGCGTCTTTATGAGTTATATGACCTGTCAGCAACATTTGGAATTTTTCTCCCAGCTACGAGGAGCGACGCGCTCTGACGCACAACACTGGGCGGAATTGAAGCTGCGAAAGTTGAATCTCGCAGACAAGGCAAATGAATATGGTTGTATGTTGTCTGGCGGCATGAAACGACGTCTATCGCTAGGTATTGCAATATCTGGCAATACTAAGTTAGTAACTTTTTTACATACATTCAAAAACTAATTTATTCTACAATAATACAATAATAGTTATTCACTAATAGTCCTTAATATATTTAATTTTTTGTTTTTTTCTACTTATTTCGGAAAAGTAGTACATTTCGTGTTATTTTTATAAACAAAACTCTTCAATTTTTAGTTAGTTTTATTTATTTATTTTATTTTATTTTATTTTTAATAGTTACAAAACACATAATTAAATTTATATGGCATTACTCTTTTTTAATTCGGTTGTGGTCGAAATGTTGCATTGCTAATGTGTTATATACGTCATCCTAACTTTTAAAATCTTTCACTGTTCAGAATTGTTATACTAGACGAACCGTCCTCAGGCCTAGACATCGAATCACGCCGCGAACTTTGGGATATTTTGCTTGAGCTACGCAAAGAGAAGGCCATTCTGGTCACCACACACTATATGGAAGAGGCCGAAGAACTCGGCGATACTATTTGTATATTGGCAAACGGCAAGCTGGAAAGGACCGGATCACCTTTGGAACTTAAGCGTAAATATGGCAACGGCTATTGCCTTAAGCTGGAAACCCATGAGAATTTCAATAAAGATGCCATCTTATCTGAAATACGCAGGTTTATACAAAATGCTTCCGTGGAGGTTAGCATATATATAGATATATATTATTTTATTATATACTCACATCATTTACTTACAGAATTTTGTAAAGCCCACGGTTTATATTCGATTGCCATATGATTTTGACTTGAAATATCATGACATGCTGCGCAGTTTGGAGGGAGCTAAAGAAAGGTTGGGTATTATAACAATCTCCATTGCTGATACCTCTTTGGAGAGCGTGTTTTTGAAGTAAGTTTTTAGTGTTTGTCGTAAATTTATGACATCTTTACATAAATTATTTTGTTCTAAAGTTGTGCTGGAGGAACCGATCAAGTGGATAAGCCCGATGACACTCGCAATAGCGAATCTGCATTGATTCATCCATACAAACGGTTGACAAATATTGAGCCCCATTTCTTGCAACTCATTGCTGCAATTTTCTACAAAAAATGGACATTTTTATCTAAAGAATGGTGCTATG